ACCATTCTGGGATTTTATGATTTATCAGCCTGTGCCTTGTGCCAGTCCTTCCTTGTGTCCCCAGCCCTCAAAAGCCATTTCAGTCCCTGCGTGTGCAACCACACACTGAGAAATCTCCAAAGTGATGCTAAAGGTATAAAGCTGTCCTTGTGTGAGAGACTGACCTCAGCTGTTGTTACAATTATTGTTTTTCTTTTTAAAGACTGAGATGGATGATTCAGAGTACATGTATGAGCTCTTCTCTGTTATTATACACAAAGGTGGCTGCTATGGAGGACACTATCATGTTTATATCAGAGATGTGGATGAATTAGGAAACTGGCAACTCCAAGTAAGTCCCTGAAGGCTTTTCTTCCTTGCTTTAGAGGTTGTACTTTTCAGAAAAATATTAAGAGCTGGTTGATGAATGTGCATCCAAACTTAATTAATATTTTAATGAGGCTTTGTGTGTGTTGTCTCATTGGGAAGGGCAGTTTGACAGAATGTCCTTCACACTCCTAGATTGTGCATGATGATGTCAGCACAAAATACTTCAGTCCTCTGTTTGTGTGTGAAACCACAATATTTGTGAGAGTCTCTCTCACCCAGGAAGAAGAGGATGGGCTGATTGAAGAGAAGGCTTTAAGAGACACTGAGAATGCCAAAGAAACAGAAAATCCACTGGCAGTCTTAAAAGGGATTTTATCAGAGGTATGGTATGTAAGGAATTCATTGCTTTGGTTTTAGAGCTGGGGAGCCTGCAGGGAGTTGGTGTTTGTGAGAGTGGGCAGGCTTAGGTGTCCAGAGCTCTTCTGAGCTTGGCATGAAGCATTTAAAACTTGGCTTTAGTATTAACAGTGGCTCTTGGTACAGACAAAGGTCCTTTTGGAGTATTTCTAAGGCTGCTCACCAAAGCTGTTGCAAAAGGAATCAGAATATCCAGAGCTGGAAGGGACCCACAAGGAGCATTGATGCAGCTCCTGGCCCTGCACAGACACCCCACCAATCCCAGCTTGTTCATCCCTGAGAGCTCCTGCAGCTCTGGCAGCCTTGGGAATGTGCCCATTCCCTGGGGAGCCTCTGGGGGAAGCACCTTTCCCTGATACCCAACCTAAATCCCCCTGACACAGCTCCATCTGATGCTACAGTAGCTTATTAAAAACCAGGAGTGATTAAAACACTTCCAGACTGGCTTCTTTGTGCTGACCCCTTGACTTTTGTAGCCTTTGTTACCTTGGTTTTTCATTTCTCTGCAGGAAGAAGTGAAACAAATTCCAGTGGATCAATTAGGGCAGAAATTACTGGAGAAGAAAGGGGTGTCCTGGAATAAGAAATACAGAAAACAATATGGAGCATTACGAAAGGTAATCCCAAGTTTGCTAGTTTTGGTTTTAGATAGCTGTTATAATCATTTATATTCTCATTGAATAGTCAGGAGGATGATAATTGAGAATATGGACCCTTGGATTAGCATGTGCAAGGAGAGGTTTGTAATGTGAATTAGCAGGCTGGGGAACAAAAGATTCCCAAGGAATTGTCTGCCTGAGACTTTGTGTATTTTTTTTATTCTAGTGCAATTTTCCAATTGGTTGCTGTATTTTATGATGTCTTAGGGAAAGTACTTCAGCACTTGTGCTGTAGATGGATGGAAAACTGCTATTTGCTTGTTTTTTTGAAGGGAGATATCTGCAGTTTCCACCATAAATATTTAAATGTGGGTGTGAAGTGTAGATGTGAGTCTTTTACAGAGGTAAACTCTGAAAATACTTGAGGGAGCACCATATAATGAGGGTTGAATTAATGGGGTTTATGTTTCACAATGAGGTGGAGCAGCTGAATGCAGGCTGCTGCATTTAAAACTTCACCTTTTCTTCATCCTGTCCTTGCTTCCCTTTCAGTATTTGCAGAATCACCCTCAGATATTCCAGCTGAGTCCTGATGGAAATAAGGTCAGCCTGAAGGAGACACACAAGCTCCTGTTGAAGCTGGATTCTCATGGACAAAACCTCCAGAGCCCCTGCCAGAAGAATGATGTGCAGTGGAACTGTGAGAAAAGCCCCCTGAGGCCAAGGGCTGCTTCTGCTGGGTGCCACTGGTTTGATCTGAACGATTCCAAAGTCCAGCCCATCAAGGAGAAGGACATTGAGCAGCAGTTCCAGGGTAAAGAGAGTGCCTACATGCTGTTCTACAGAAAAGCTCAGCTGAAGAGGCCCCCTGAAGGTACACAAAGCTCACCAGGGGATTTTGGGGCATTTCCTGCTTTGACATTTTTTCTGGAGTGGTTTTTTTGTCCTTTCCAAGCTTTATTTTCCCCAGTTTTCCTTATAGTGATCATTTGAAAAAAATGATTTAAATGAAGGTACAAGGAGGTGGTGATGTGTTGATTGGCTGTAGCTGACTAATTTTTTTATTTACTCTGCTCCACAAATAATGACAGAGCATCAGCTGAAACAAATACAGGTTGTTGCTGATGTCATTTATGTGTTAATTTCCCTTAAAGCAAGGTTGATTGGAAGGAGTAAAAGCATTTTTGTTCTTTATATCATCCTGCAGTTGAGTTTTCAGTNCGGGGGGACCGCCGGGCTCGGGGGCTCCTGGCTTGGCTTCATGAGATGGGTTTGGAGTCTCCTGGCGTGGGTGTATTAGGGGGATTTGGGGTCTGCTGTCACAGATTTATTAGAAGGTTTGGCATCCTCTGCTATGGGTTTTTTAGAGGGATTTGGGATCTCCTGCCTTGGGTTTGTTAGAGAGGTTTGGGAGCTCCTGGCATGGGTTTATTGAAAGGGTTTGGGAACTCTTGCCGTGGGTTTATAAGAGGGATTTGGGGTCCTCTGTCACAGATTTATTAGAGAGCTTTGGCATCTCCTGCCATGGGTTTATTAGAGAGGTTTGGGAGCTCCTGGCATGGGTTTATTAAGGGGTTTGGGATTTCCTGCCTTGGATTTATAAGGGGGATTTGGGATCACCTCAGAATTATTAGAGGGGTTTGGGATCTCCTCCCTTGGCTTCATTAGAGGGGTTTGAGATCTCCTGTCACAGATTTATTGGAGAGTTTTGGGATCTCCTGTTACAGATTTATTAGAGAGTTTTGGTATCTCATGCCGTGGTTTTATTAGAGAGCTTTGGGAGCTTCTGGCTTGGGTTTATTGAAAGAGTTTGGGAAGTCCTGCTGTGGGTTTATAAGGGGGATTTGGAATCTCCTGTCATATTTATTACTGGGGTTTGGTATCTCTTGCCATGGGTTTATTGGAAGGGTTTGGGAACCCTTGCCATGCTTTTATAAGGGGGTTTTGGGATCTCCTGCCATGGGTTTATTGGAGGGTTTGGGAACTCCTGCCGTGAGTTTATAAGGGGGATTTGGGATCTCCTGTCATATTTATTATTGGGTTTTGGGATCTCCTGCCATGGGTTTATTGGAGGGTTTGGGAACTCCTGCCGTGAGTTTATAAGGGGGATTTGAGATCGCCTCTCAGATTTATTAGAGGGGTTTGGGATCTCCTCCCATGGCTTCATTAGAAGGGTTTGGGAGCTCCTGTTATGGGTGTATTAGGGGGGTTTGGGGTCTCCTGTCACAGATTTATTAGAGGGTTTGGCATCCCCTGCCATGGGTTTATTAGAGAGGTTTGGGGAGTCTCTTGCCTTGGATTTATTAGAGTTTTGGGAACTCCTGGCATGGGTTTGTAAGGGAGATTTGGGATCTCCTGTCATATTTATTAGAGGGGTTTGGGATCTCTTGCCATGGGTTTATTGAAAGGTTTTGGGGTCTCCTGTCAGAGATTTGTTGGAAGCATTTGGGATCTCCTGCCATGGATGTATTGAAAGGTTTTGGGATCTCCTGCCGTGGGTTTATTGGAGGGTTTTGGGATCTCATGCCATGGGTTTATTAGAGAGTTTTGGCATCTCCTGGCATGGATTTATTAGGGGGGGTTGGGAGTTCCTGGCATGGATTTATTAGGGGAATTTGGGAACTCCTGCTATATGTTTATTAGAGAGTTTTGGAATCCCCTGCCATAGGTTTATTAGAGGGGTGTGGGATCCTCTGCCTTGGGTTTATTAGAGAGTTTTGGGAACTCCTGACATGGGTTTATTGAAAGGGTTTGGGAAGTCCTGCTGTGGTTTTATAAGGGACATTTGGGATCTCCTGTCATATTTATTACTGGGGTTTGGGATCTCCTGCCTTGGGTTTATTAGAGAGTTTTGGGAATTCCTGGCATGGGTTTATTAGCAGGCTTTGGGAACTCCTGCTATGGATGTATTAGGGGGATTTGGGATCTCCTGTCACAGATTTTTAGAGGGGTTTGGGATCTCCTGCCTTGGGTTTTTTGGAGGGATTTGGGCTCTGTTCTCATAGATTTATTAGAGGGATTTGAGGGCTCCTGCTGTGGATCCCAAACAGGGGTTTGGGATCATTTGTCATGGGTATCTTAAAGGGCTTTGGAGATTTCCTGTCATGGATTTATTAGAGGGTTTTGTGACCTCCAGCTATGAATTTATTAGAGGAGTTTGGGAATCTTGTGGGTTTCGTAGGGGGTTTGTGGGTCTCCTGTCATGGAAGTATTAGAGAATTTTGGGATCTCCTGTCATGCATTTATTAGAGAGGTTCTGGGATCTCTTGCCATGGATTTATTCCAGGTTTTGGTTTCTCCTGCCATGGATGCATGGCAGCCTGAGGCCCTGTGCTCTGAGCTGTCCCTGGGCCACCCAGAATCCCTTCCAGCTGCTATTCCTGTGTGGTTTTTAAGGGAAGGAGGATCCAGAAATAAGGAGTGAGGGAGGATTTGGCACTCGAGTGCCTCTCCAGAGTGGTGGGTGGGTGGTGTCTCCTGGATATGGCTCTTTTTTGGGACAAACCATCCACTCAGGAGCTGCTGGGAGGAGATGCAGGGAGGAGAAGTGCAGCAGGCTTGACTGGAAACAGGAATGAGGGCTGGGAGAAAGCTTGGATTGAGTGCCAAGCCCAGGAATTCCATCCAGCGGCTTGGGAGGAGGGGCCCTGACAGAGATTTTAAGGCAGTCAGGAGCTGCATTCAGAGGAGGAGAAGCTGATGCAAAGTGATTTAGTTCCTATTTATGTTCATTAGGAAAGTGAAACTTTAAAATCTTTCAGCTTTGATGTCTCAGATGAAGAAGAGCCAGGGGTTTGGAGGAGGTGGATAAGGATAATCCAAGGTAGGGGATAGTTCACTTGCAGGAATAAATAACAGCTTTGTGCAAAATGGAGTTGTGGTGGGTTGGATCCTGGTGAAGAGACTGCTCAGACCTGTGGTAACAGAAATGCTTTTAATTCACCCTTTTTTTGTTACATTAATTTACATTTTTTCATGGGTTTATTTTTAGAATGACCGGAATAAGGTGGAAAAAAATATAAACAAATTCTTCAGTCAGGGCTTCCAGGTTTGTCTTGGAGGATTTTATGTGGCTGGGTTCAACTGCATTTTTTATAGTAAATACTTATTCTGTCTTTTTAAAGGACTCTTCTGCCTTCACAATGTTTGGGGACTTATTTGAAGAGGATTTTTCCTTTATTTCCAACAATCACTATGGGAAAGGGAAGAAATCAAAGCCCAGAGAGTCTGAGCCTCCAGCTCCCAGGGATTTCACCAACCTCAGTGGAATCAAAAATCAGGGTGGGACCTGCTACCTCAATTCCCTTCTGCAGACTCTGCTCTTCACCCCTGAATTTAGAGGTGAGGTGCTCAAAACCTTCTTAAAATAATGTTGGGATTGATGTTTTGGTGAGACTTGCACTTCTGGTTATTTATTTAAGAAACACAATGAACTCTGGTGATTTTGGGGCACAGTTCACTTTAAATAAATTATTGCAGAATAAAATCATAGTGTTTAACATTAAAATCCAGTAAATTTTTAAGGAGGGGATGTTGTCTTTTTAAATAATAATTTTTTACCAATTGCAGAGGCTTTGTTCTCCCTGGGACCTGAAGAACTTGGCACTCTGGATGACAGCAGGAAACCAGATGCAAAGGTGATGGGAATTTTCCTGTTCATCACAGTTGATTTGGAGGAATATGGCTGCAGTTCATGTGAAACTTAGGAAAATGAGTGAAAACCTGAATTTGACACTGAGAGGTAGTTTGGCCTGGCTGATACTGGATTTTCCACAGCATTCTAAGCTTTCATTGCCATCAGGTTTTACCTCAGAAATCAGATGTGGAGTCTGTTTCTGCTGAGATGTTCTCCCTCCCACCTCATTCCACCCCTCCACCAACCCCTTCAGCAGGGCTGGAGAGGGACTGGGGATTAGGGATGGAGGGACAAGGCACAGGGAATGGCTCCCACTGCCAGAGGGCAGGCATGGATGGGATGTTGGGAATTGGGAATTGTTCCCTGGGACGGGCTGGGATGGAATTCCCTGAGCAGCTGTGGCTGCCCTTGAATCTCTGCAAGACCCCAAGGCCAGGTTGGACACTGGGGCTTGGAGCAACCTGGGATAGTGGGAGGTGTCCCTGCCCATGGCAGGGGTGGAATGGGATGAGCTTTAAGGTCCCTCCCACCCCAAACCATTCCCACTTGGCTGTATAAGGTGAGGCACTGTATATTTTTGGGAACCAAGTCTAAAACTGCTTGGTGTGAAGTGAGTTGTGTGTGTTATTAAAGAGGCAGGGGTGGTTTGTCACCTAGGGGGGAAGTTTATCACCCATGGGGGGAATTTATCACCAAAGGTGTGGTTTATCACTCAGGGGGGAGTTTATCACNTTTTCTTGTTTTCCAAAGCACATTTTAAGCTTATGTTCTTTGTTGCAGCACGTGGAAATCCACGGTACCAAATTCCTGAGCACCTGCTGAATGAAATGAATGCTGCTAATACAGAGCTGCAAAAGAAGAGGTATATTGGTGTCACTGAACTCAAACAGCTCTTATCTGCTGGACTCTCAAGGGATTCAAAAGGAAAGAAATTCCTTGAGCAGAGTCAGAACTGAAATGGTTCAATGTCAGAGGTTAATTGAAGAACATAATTTTTATATCCATATTCTGCTGGTTCCCTGCCTTCCCTGTTAGCAGGCAGCCTGCAGGATTTCAAGGGAAAGATAGAGGTTCAAATGGTACCATTTTCTGGTGAAAATCACTGCAGTTCTGGAAAGAGAGTAGAATGTGGTATCTTAACTGTGTTTATAGAGGGAATTCCTTACTGGGAGAAGGGGGAAGGACTTTGTTTGTGGGGAATTTACAGATAAATGATATTCTCTGCCAGAAAAGTCAAGAGCTTGTGGCATTCAGGTTGGACAAAGCTTTCCCTTGTGTTGAGGGACACAGTGCTGATACACCTGAATCACAGTGAAGATATCAGAATACAGACACAAGAGTTACAGTTTATGGGATATTTCACCCAGGACTGTGGCTGCCCCATCCCTGGAAGTGTCCAAGGCCCCTTGGATGGGGCTTGGAGCAGCCTGGGGTAGGGGCAGCTGTCCCTGCCCACCCAAACCATCCTGGGGTTCTGTTTCTGAGGGAATTCCACTCCTTTATTTTTTTAAAGTTTTGCTGCTGCAGCTAGGGACAGGTATAAAGGAGGAGGGGATGTGACAGGGAATTTAGCCCTGGGGGGATCAGCTCCAGAAGAGCTGCACAGAAACATCAGTTTGGTGTTAAATTCACCACTTTGTTGTGTTGTCCTCCCAAAGAGCTGAATGTGACTCAGCAAACAATGGCATTGATTTGCATCTCCACCTGAGCTCCTGCTATAAATTCCTCAATGGGGCTTTGCATCCTTCACTTTCTTGGAAAGAGAGCGTGGTGGATTTGACCATTGACAGAAGGAAGACCCTGGGAGACCTCCGGCAGGCAGTGTCCCAGGTACCTGCTCCAGCAAACTCAGCTTCCTTTTTACTTGAGCCACTGCAACCTTTGCAAATAGATTTATGCTGCAGTCTATGTGTCAGGGAGAAATTTTCAACAGTAAATGGAGCTTAGGAGGCTAAAAACTTAATATAGGAGGAAAGAGTGGTGTGGGGGCTGTTCTTGAAGCCATGAAATTGCTGGAATTTTAACTGTGGAGACTTCAAAGTTCACATGAGCTAATTTATTATATTTGGGCAGCACATGTGCATGGCCATGGATTGACATTGCAGGACTCCAGGCTTATTCTTAATATTTCATTTTGTGACAGAGTTGGCTTTGTCTTTTCAAGGAGTCACCAATTAAGTGTCACCCAGTGAGCTTGGGAGCCAGGCTGTGGCAGCTTTCAGCAGATTGTAATTATTGTGAGTGCAGCGAGGTGCTGCTCGCTGTTATTTGACATAATTTTTCTGGTTATATTTCCCAATTAGATGTTGGAGTCTTGGGAAGGGGACATGGTTCTCAGCATGGCCAAGCCTTTACCAGCAGGATTACACCTGTACCAGGTGCTTGATGGTAAGAGCACTGCATGCCAGGCCTCCATGCTATTGCTGAATTTTAATTCCTGCAGCCATCAAAGATTTCATCTGTAAACCATCCTGGAGATGTGTATTACTGAACACTCTTCCAGCTCAAACTCATGTTTAATTATTTAATTTACTTGTTTCACTCTTGTTAGTGGAATGAATGATTTTAAGACTTTGCTGTGAAATCTTGGTTGTGAAATGCAGATCTTAAGCACGTTTGCTGACAAGAATGTATCAGTCTGTGTCTTGCCCTTGATTTGCTTGTGAATGTTTGCTTTCATAGGATTGGCCTAATAGGTGGAGGAGAGGATAGAAGAGAGGAGCCAGGGTGACATCAAAGGCAAATGTAGGTTAGACTCCAGCTGAAGTAGGAATTTTGTAAAGGGAAATGCTCACATGAAGAGTTCATTAATTTATTAAGGGTACATCAGTTTTTCAAACTGTCATTCTTGTCTCCAGCTTTGCTTTGTTAGGCAATTCTAAGTGTCAGTTTTTACAACTTACTCAGTAACTTTCAAATGTTATGTTCTCTGTGGTCAGCTTCAGAAAATCACTGTGGAACCAGAACATAACCCAACTCTCTACAGTGTTGACATCAAAATACAGAGACACTCAGAGCTGCTCTAAATATTCCTCCCCATGCTTGTACAGTTTAAGTGTAGTGATTTTTAAAAACTTGCTGACCCTGCTTGTCTGTTTTGTGGGGAGCAAGAACTTGATGATTTTCTCCTATTTTTTAGGAGATGAGCTGACCCTGGATGGCATTGGGCTGGCTGATGGAGCAGACATCTTTGTCTGGAATGGGAAAGAGGTAAAGGAACCAAGCACTTCCTTCCTTGTCAGCTCTGAAGAGATAAGACACTGCAAAGTCTCCTGGAAATCCTGTGCTGCTTTTATAGTTTTCCATCTTCTTTTTAATATTAAGGTTTCTGCTTAACCTGGAAGTGGTTGTGAAGCTCAGCATTTTATTCTGTCTATCAGCATTTTATTCTGTCTCTATAGTGGAATAAAATGCTACTTTTAATTACTTTTATTGTAAAAATATCCAGTTGATACTGACTTTCTCAAAAAAAAAAAAAGACCCCAAACTAAACACAACCACCCAAACATGTAGTAACAGAGTTGGTTTTGTCTTGGTTTTATTTTTGGTGTCGTTTTATTCTATTGCAGCTTTTGTGTCATTAAATTTTCTTAAGCGAGGAGCTTAGGTTGAATATCAGAAAGATTAAGCTTTTAAAATGTAAAATCACAATGCTCAGTCACATTTGAGTAATTCTTTAATGTCCTGAGGGGCTAAATTCCTGTGTCCTAGATTTTGCCAAGTGTCCACTGGTTTCCCAGTTGCTTACCATGGAATGGTTTGGGAAGCCACTTAAGGATCTCATTCCACCCCCTGCCATGGACAGGGACACTTTCCACTATCCCAGGCTGCTTCAAGCTTTGGCCAGGGATCCAGGGGCACTTGCAGGGATCCAGGGGCAGCCACAGCTTCTCTGGATAACATTTTTCTTTCTCTCCCAACATCCATGGGTTACTCTGGTTGTTTGTTCAGTACAAATTTGCTCCGAGGAGGTTGGTTTGAATGGGGAGTGTCTCCACTTTGGTCTCAATTTTCTCCCTGCCCAGTCTTGTTGGGTTTTCTGCGGCTGTTGTTTGAAGGGCCTGTGAAGGCCCGGGGTGGCCTTGGGGCAGCCCGCGTATCGAAGGACGAGAAGAGGCTTCAGTTCTTCTTTCCGTTTTTATGTTTATTAATTGTTTATCTAAAAGATTTTCTTTCAGCCCGACAGAGCTCTGCTCAACAGCCAGCCATGAGCACACTGTGCTGCCTTCTGTACAGCCACTTATCTTTATACCCATTGTTATGTGTACAATATTTATCATTTTTCTCCAATACCATTTATTCTTATTACTCGGTGCACTTTCAGTAATAACCAATCCAAGAGTGCCACCATCACCAAAGAAGATGGAGGAGAAGAAGAAGAAGAAGAAGGACAGGACACGCCCCAATTCCTCCATCTTACTCCTCTAAACCCCCCTGTACATAAATCCTAAACCCTGTGTCTCACCCTCTAATTAACTAATCCCTTCACCATTCACCCCGGTGGAGCCCTCATCCTTGTCGTCTCCTGTGTAGGGTCAAAGTCCAGCCACCAGACACTTCTGGAACATTCCAGGACTCCCGAGCCCCCCAAGGGTGGTCTCGGTGGCTTGGCACCTCAGGACTCAGATCCTGAGATCCCACACAGTCTCTTCTGTATTTTCTGGAGAAATACACAGCTGTCATTTCCTTGCTGCTTTCCCTCAGGTTGGAGGCACGAAGGTGCTGACGGGCCCCGAGCACGAGCCCGTGGTGCTGAACGTGCTTCGCTTGGCCGAGCACAACGAGGGCGGCAAGGGGCAGCACTTCAGCGAGGCCCAGCACGTCTGCTCCTGCAGCACCAGCCTGGGGCAGCTGCACTCTGCCCTGGCTCCAGCCGGGGGCATCATCCTCAAAAACACCTCAGGAGCAGACCCAGAAGCCAAGAACTGGGAGGTTTTCCATGAGGAGGACATGAAGGAAACAGTCCGAAGTGTCGGGCTCAGGGACGGGTGCTCTGTGCTCATCTTAGACAGCCATGACCAGAGGTAACGTTTTTGATTGTGATGGTAATGAAA